TTTGCTGAGAATGACAGTTTCCAGCTGCATCCGTGTTCCTACAAAGGACATGAACTCATCCTTTTTTATGGCTGTATAGTATTCCATGGTGTATATGTGCCACATTTTCTTAATCCAGTCTGTCACTGATGGACATTTGGGTTGATTCCAAGTCTTTGCTATTGTGAATAATGCACATGAAAGCAAAAAAAGAACCCAAATAGCCAAGACAATCCTAAGCAAAAAGAACAAAACAGGGGACATCACATTACCCAACTTTAAATTATGCTACAGGTCTATAGTAACCAAAGCAGCATGATACTGGTACAAAAACAGTCACACAGGTCAATGAAATAGAATAGAGAACTCAGAACTACAATTGCACACTTACAACTATCTGATCTTTATAAACCTGACAAAAACAAGCAATGGGGAAAGGATTCCCTATTCAATAAGTGGTGCTGGGATAACTGCCTAGCCATATGCAGAAGATTAAAACTGGACCCCTTCCTTACTGTATATACAAAAATTAACTCAGGATACATTAAAGACTTAAATGTAAAACCTAAAACTATAAAAGCTCTGTATGACAACCTAGGCAATACCATTCAGGACAGAGACATAGACAAAGATTTCATGATGAAGATGTCAAAAACAATTACAACAAAACCAAAAATTAACAAATGGGATCTAATTAAACCGAAAAGCTTCTGCACAGCAAAAGAAATTATCAACGGAGTAAAAAGACAACCCACAGAATGAGAGACAAGTTTTGCAAACTATGCATCTAACAAAGGTATAATATCAAGCATCTATAAGGAACTTAAACACATTTGCAAGAAAAAGACAAGCAATCCCATAAAAAAGTGGGCAAAGAACATGAACAGACACTTTTCAAAGGAAGACATGCATGCAGGCAACAATCATATGAAAAAAAAGCTCAACATCACTGATCATTAGAGAAATGCAAATCAAAGCCACAATGGGGTACCATCTCCCACCAGTGAGAATGGCTACTGTTAAAAAGTCACAAAATAACAGATGCTGGTGAGCTTCTTGGGAAAAAGGAATGCTTCTACACTGTTGGTGGGAGTGGAAATTAGTTCAATCATTGTGAAAGACAGTGTGGAATTCCTCAAAGACATAAAGACAGAAATACTATTCCACCCAGCAATCCCATTACTAGGTATATATCCAAGGGAATATAAATAATTCCATTATAAAGTTAAATGTATGCATATGTTCATTGAAACACTATTCACAGTATCAAAGACATGGAATCAACCTAAATGCCCATCAATGATAGACTGGATAAAGAAAATGTGGTAAGTATACACCATGGAATACTATGCAGCCACCAAAAAGAATGAGACCATGTCCTTTGCAGGGACATGAATGGAGCTGGAGGCCATTATCCTTAGCAAACTAACACAGGAACAGAAAACTAAATGTCGGCATGTTCTCACTTATAAGTAGGAGCTAAATGATGAGAACACATGGACACAGAGAGGGGAACAACACACAATGGGGCCTATTGGAGGGTGGAGGGTGGGAGGAGAAAGAGGATCAGGAAAAGTAACTAATAGGTACCAGGCTTAATACTTAGGTGATGAAATAACCCATACAACAAACCCCTCATGACACAGGTTTACCTATGTAACAAAACTGCACATGCACCCCCGAACTTAAAATAAAAGTTAAAAAAATTAAGATGGCTTTTCTCAATGCACTATTCAATAATCTCTCTCATGACTTTCCGAAAACCTATTTAGCAGGACACATTGTATACACTATCGGATGCCCAACCAAAATATATCTTCCATTTCTTTTGTACTAAGACTGTGCTGATTTTGTCCAGGTATATATGAGGAATGTGCTCAGGGGTAAGTGAGTACCACTCTATCCTGAGGGCAAGAATTATACTTGGTATAATTCACTCATGGTTAATTCATGACCTGATGTTAGTTATTGGTTTAGTGTGGGCATGTCCTGAGAAATGAGGCATGAAAGGAAGTTTGCTCAGAAGAAATGTGTCTCTGTGTGTGTTTTCCTTCTTAAATAAAATGAAATAAAATTAACAAGATGCTCTAGAAGTATTGAATTTACTGCCTTGGTCAAAAGCTATAAGGGCAGGATGACTGGAGTTATTGTAATTATTTTATGATGACAAAATCCAAAGGAATTAGAGAAGCCCTTTTAGAAGTGCTGCATGTTTGTACTGCTTAAGTAATCAATCCTGGAAACACTTGCCATATTCCAGACAAATTTAATTGAATATTCTTGTTTTTTAGAGTAGAAGACACCTAATGGACACTCCTATCATAGATCTCTTAATGAACATGTTATCCTACAGGCATGTTTATATGTCACTAGGTATTTATAAGTGATTAAAGTGATTAAATGCTTTTTTTTGAAAACAAGTTCAAATCACATATTTATGTGTGAGCACATCTGTTACGTTATATAGATCTAACATTTGTTATTTTTGCCTACTTGAGCCTATTTCCTTTTTTCTATAATATATCACCTCTTTTTTTTTTTCAAGTCACTCTGTTCTTCTTCATAGACCATGTGGATCCTGTGTAGTTGACCCTGCCCTCCCATTCGTAGGTTGGGTACATAATCCAGGACCACATACATAGATTCGTTCAGTGATGTACAGATAAACCAAGCCATAACATCAGGCTCAATTTCGGTATTTTCACTTGTGGGTTTCTTTGTATGGCAGTATTTAACCTAGAGCAAATTGGCAGCCATCTTGCCACCATGAAGGGTCACAGTTTATAGGAGAATTTGCCCTGAGAAAAGCATAGCTGCAGGAAGGAAAGAACATTCCTGATGACATTATTTGCCCTCTTGGGTCCAGCACTGCCTAAAGAAGCAATAGTCCCAAACTTTTCAGTAATGTTAGTTAATAAATCCACTCCACGTTGAATTTCTGCCATATACAATTTAAAAAGTCCCACTGGCACTCCTGCCTAAAAGTCCTGCTCAGGACCTATTTCAAGAAGACTTCTTTCCTTATAATTCACTATATAAATCATATGGAACATATAGAACTGTTACAGTGGCATCATCATACTTAGATTATGATGCCTAATTAATTAAGACAATTAATTATTTTAATTAAAGGTGCCTAAATAATTAAAATAATTCCATAGGTCTTATATTAAAATTATTAATGATAATTCTAGATTAGGTTCATTTTTCAGCATACATTGTTTATTAATTTCTTTTATGATGGAGTTTTTGAGTAGATAGACTGATGCCTATCAATAATACACATTGTTCTTTGAAAATGATTTGTTATTCTCTGTATTCACTGAATGTTAATCCTTTCTTTATTCATTTAAGTTTTTTTCCTGGATTGCTGTATTTTTCTTTTTAGACTTTTTCCACAGCTCTTCATATCTGAAGATAACATCTCTTCCATGTTTTTAAGGATGATTAATTTAGTTCATTCTTTTTTTTTTTTTTTTTTTTTTTTTTTTGTTGTTGTTGTTGAGATGGGGTCTCGCTCTGTCACCCAGGCTGGAGTGCAGTGGCGAGATCTCGGCTCACTGCAAGCTCCGCCTCCTGGGTTCACGCCTTTCTCCTGCCTCAGCTTCCCGAGTAGCTAGGACTACAGGCACCCGCCACCATGCCCGGCTAATTTGTTTTTCTATTTTTAAAAGAGATGTGTTTTCACCATATTAGCCAGATTGGTCTCGATCTCCTGACCTGCTGATCTGCCCTCCTTAGCCTCCCAAAGTGCTGGGATTAGGCATGAGCCAAAACGCCCATCCTCAGTTTAGTCTGTCTTTTAATGCACTAGTTTAAGCTGCTATGTAAGTCATTGAGTTTTGCATGCTAGTTATCAATTTTTATATTTTAAAAGTTTATTTTAATTACTTTAAAAATAACAGCTAGGACAGGTATCAGAATATATATTCAGTTGCCTCACTGGATTCATATATCATCAACATTTTTAGCTCCTTAGGTGTCCTTCAATTTTTGCCAGCTGTTCTGTACATTTTAAGAATTATGTTTTTGTATATTTCATCCATCAATTTTAAGTGTCCTATACGCCTTAAAGAATAGGGGTATCTTAACCACCACTTTGCTCCACCTCTGTTTCTTTCCAATATAACTATTATTCATAGAGTTACCGTGTAACCTTCAATATTACTGATTCACTGAGGTTTTTCAGAGGGTGCATATTTTATTGGTAACAAGGTATGAAAACAGCATTTTTTAAAAACTCATCTGTGATTCTATTTTTCACTTTACCTACTTTCAATTTAGTTACCTTACTGCTTTCATGTACCTTTTTGAACGATTTTAAAATTTTAAATGAAAAATATAATACAAATAAATCTATAAAACAAAACAAAATACCTGTTTTTCTCTTCTTTTTTGTTTGCAATTTACAGCATATTTTATATACCTTATGTTATTTTTGGTCTTTCCAAAATCTAGGTAGTACATGTATTCTTTTTTGGCCAAAAAAGTGACCCCCAAAGTGGCGATCCCTGAACTTAATCCTTGTCTAGTGCTCTTCTATTTGCACCAGACAAATTGGAATATTCTGAATGTTTTAGAAAGGTCAAACTAAAGGAATTAAACTCTACCTTGAAAACCCTTTAAAGTAATTCTATCAAGGAATTCTCTAAATGAAGGTAAATATGTTGAAATTGATGCAAAGTATGCTTTCCCACACATTTAATTCTGAATTCTGAAATATTTTTATTGTAATTGTAATAAAATTTGTTGATGGCAAATAATTTCTTATTTATCACACAAATTAACAGCATATCACTTGGTGAACATTATACACAGAAGCAATTTGAATAGAATTAATTCATTTACATTTAGTAGCCTAGAAGATTTGTTTTACCTGTTTAAATGTGAGACATTGCCAAAATTATAGCAGACAACTACAGAGAAGAATAAACCATAACCTTAATATGGGAAGCTTATTTTCATTTTCAAACAAAGTAACAGATAATGTTCTCACACTATTTAAAATGGATATTACTTACAGCTGCGTCTGCAAAGGTCTCTTCATAAAACACTAGCATCAGAGCAAACTGTACAACTGTGTATATCTTTAATAGCTGAGATGCAGATGATGAGAAGGGAACATCTTTCCCAGTGACCTAGGTAGACAAGAAAGAACCATTTCCTTTATATTGCTCCAGACTTATTTCTCTTACTGAAATTCACACTAAGAGAGATATTTGAAAAAACGCATTTGCTTTTTTTTTTTTTTTTTAAAAAAAAGGCTAACATAATTTTTTAAAATAGAAACTTGTCTGTAAGTTAGGATACTTTTTTTCCCATTTTGAAAGCATGACAATTATGATGTAGTCTGCCTTAAAGAGTAGCATAAGAACTAATTCAGCAAAATGTGCAAATAATAAAATAGTCAAAATGAATGGGATGGATCTTCCCTATTTGATAATATGTCCATGATCACATATGACGGCAAAAGCAAAGTAAAAGAAAAAACGGAAGGTGGCCAGATGCAGTGGCTCACACCTGTAATCCCAGCACTTTCCAAGGCCGCGGTGGGCGGATCACTTGAGGTCAAGAGTTCATGATCAGCCTGGCCAACATGGTGAAACCCCGTCTCTACCAATAATACAAAAATTAGCTGGGCGTGGTGGCATGCACCTGTAATCCCAGCTACTCGGGAGGCTGAGGCAGAAGAACTGCTTGAACCCCGTAGGCAGAGGTTGCAGTGAGCCAGGACTGCGTGACTGCACTTCAACCTGGAGATTATTTAAAAAAAAAAAAAAAAAAAAAAAAAAAAACAGAGAGAGAGAAGGTAATCTTGTCAGTGTAGGTAATCATACTTCTAAGAAAAATATCATTTTATTAGAAACAACTTTTGTAAAGTTATTTATTGGAAACTTTAGAAAAGTTACTTCCAATAAACTACATTTTTACTCTAGCATTTGAGTTTCCCCAAAATGCTACACATTTATTTTTTTAATGCAGACTCCAGGACTCATATAACTTTAAAAACAGTATTCACTTTGAGTTATCTATTGACAAAAAGAAAAACAATAAATGGATCATAGCAAACAGGTTTTTGGAGTTGAAATACAAAAATTATTTCACCTATATCAAGTTGGTGGATGTTACACTACTAATTATGAACATAAACAAAAGTGTCTGGGAAACTTATTCCAGGCGGCTTTGGTAACTGAATGAGAAAATGTCATTACTTAGATTAGGATTTTTTCAAAATAGGAATATTTAAATAAAACCTCTTATTTTATTTTATTTCCTTGAAACATCACAAGCTAATTTTATACACATAGTATCATCCTTGAAATTAAGAGTAGTTTAGTCTTCCTATTGTTTCTGCATTACTATACATAACATTTATTTGATAAGAAATAACAACTTATATTCTAAATGATTAAAAAGAAACTTATCTTTCTTTCCCAGAAGAGTAATTCTGGGTGAAAACTGAGTTTTTCATTTGGGTTCCTCTGTTTTAAAGATCTATCTTTTTGTTTTTGGTTTTCAATGTGGTTTCTGCATTTAATTCTTCTACTCTACTATAAAATGAATATAGTTATGGTTTGACCCAAAATCCAAACTGTCTTGATGTGACTTTAGATACATCTGTTCTGGGGGCCTCATTTCTTCGTGAGTTGAGTTAAGGTTAGACTGGCTCATTCCTAAGGTTCCCGCCATCTCTAGTGTTCTAGGACTCTGTGTCTGAGCCGCTTGTATTTGTGAAGTTATGCTCTACACAAAGGCAGGCATTCAAGTGGATATGAAAACCAGCCTCTGTAGCTCTGCTCCACAATCTGGGCTCCCAGGCAAAAGGCAGTGTTCACCTGGGAGAAGGTATTCCTTTAATTGGCACGTAGTTGGTGGACACTCACTAAGTTATGCACCACAGGACTGCATCTGACCGTGGGAACATCTTTTTACAGATTTGCATGAAAATAGCACATGTACAGGCTGGCTGTAGACCTGACAATATGAGACTAATCTTCACCATCTCCAATTCTGTGAACTCTATTTACCTCTGGAATTTCTTCACTTAGACCAAGTCTTGGTTTACCTGGACCCCATCCTGGTCCCTTAAATATGACAGACAACTTATTGAAGAATCCAGGTGTGGCCCAGAATGTAGTCCATATGTAAAATAAGTGATGGAACTAGAAAGAATAAAAAAGAGCTTATTTCAAATAAGATAAATAGGGCAGAAAGAATAAATACCAAAGATTATGTATATTTTTTATTGTTCAAGGTAATTTACACATATTAAAACATACGTTATGCATGATTAGAGCAACAGAAATTAATGTGTAATTGCATTCTGTGCTGTAATCTATTCTATGCACTGTGTACCATTAAGTGTGTTTCTGTCAGTATTTCTGAAGTTCAATAAAATTGTAATTTTGAAATGTAAAATCAGGGCAATTGTTTAGACAATCAGCAAAGTAGAAAAAAATGAGTTAAAAGGCTTTGTTTCCAATAGAATTAACTAGCACCCTGTGCACTCAACATCCCTCTCTAAGAACACCTTTTCTTTCTTTCTTTTTCTTCAAGACAGAGTCTCACTCTGTTGCCCAGGCTGGAGTGCAGTGGAGCAACTTTGACTCACTGCAACCTCTGCCTCCCGGGTTCAAGTGATTCTCCTACCTTAGCCTCCTGAGTAGCTGGGATTACAGGCGCATGCCACCATTCCAGGCTAATTTTTGTATTTTTAATGGCGACGGGGGTCTCACCACGTTGGCCAGGCTAGTTTTGAACTTCTGACCTCATGATCCACCAGCCTCGGCCTCCCAAAGTGTTGGGATTACAGGCCTGAGCCACCACGCCCGGCCAATGACACCTTTTCTAAGTGTTGCTCAATGGATACAAAAGTTGAACATGGAAACATATAAAGATTGAATATCTGCTTAAAAATTTAAAATATAAATCTTTACTATATTGTGTTACAGACAACACATATTCATAAAAATCCTCTAAGTAGTTTGTGATACTAGACTTCTGAGTATTAAATAGTCCGTATTCTGTAATTAGAGATCGAAAAGTTTGCTAATTGAGGCAAAAATTCCCTTTAAGTAGCATAACAGGAATCCCACATTCTTTAAATATTGTGCATTTGACATGGATAGAAGTTAAAAGTGGCCAGGCACTGTGGCTCACGCCTGTAATCCCAGCATTTTGGGAGGCTGAGGCGGGCGGATCACAAGGTCAGGAGATCGAGACCATCCTGGCAAAAACGGCGAAACCCCATCTCTACTAAAAACACACAAAAAAATTAGCCGGGCGTGGTGGCGGGCGCCTGTAGTCCCAACTTCTCAGGAGACTGAGGCAGGAGAATGGTGGTGTGAACCCAGGAGGCGGCGGAGCTTGTAGTGAGCAGGGATTGCGCCACTGCACTCCAGCCTGGGTGACAGAGTGAGACTCCGTCTCAAAAAAAAAAAAAAAGAAGTTAAAAGTGTGCCCACATGTGATAGGTGTTCAATAAATGTTTGCTATTTATGACATATATATGATCATAATGCACCAGGAGACTAAAAAGACTCCTAGAGGTTGAGCATCAGCTATAGACTCTATAGATGAGTTCTAATGATAATTATAGAAATAAATTAATGGAGAAAGAAGTTTTGGCTTTATCAGAATTTGTGATTTTGCTAGTATTTTCATTGTGTTTTGAATGAGTTGAACCATTAAGATTACAAAAAATAACTTAAGAATTTCTTAAAATATCATAATAAGGAATCTGAAGCAATTAAGAAATAATTTAGAACAACCATTTATGCCTAATGTTCCATTATTGGAACGCTAAGCATGTGGGAGTTATTTATATCCTACTACTCAAGGTCACCGCCAAGGTCTACTTGGAAAAATTCAAAAAATTGCAACCTCAGGCATATATGGTTAATGGAATAGATCTGAGGAACAGGTAAATGTTAGGAGGAAACTTCGCCTGGGGCTTTGCAATAATAATGATATAGAAAACTAATGTGCTTATAAGTTATAATGTACATTAATATACTCATCTGTTTTGTAATTTTGGAAACTGACTACAGTTTTGTTTCTATCATTCTGGACACAAGCCATGAAAAATACATGGTAATGTTTTAAATGAAAATATTGTTTTTCACTTATTTATTTCCCAGTGCTCTGAAAATGTGCGATGCCAAAGGAGGGCAAGGTGAGTTATTTATGCCTAATAATAAGGAAAACAAACAAACAAGCAAAATCCTATGTCTGTTGGAAGTCATCCTAAGTTGCCTTGATGCCTCTGCAGAATAGGTGAGAAATTTACCTGTATATAAAGGAATGGAGGTGAAAATAAGTGAATGTTTTTGTAAGTTCAAGTATTCCTAATTATCACAACTTGCCGGCTTGACATTTCTGACAATATAAGTGAACATGTAAAACACTAAACCTTAGACCTACTTGTGATAATTACAATGCTGAAGGAAACGTGAGGGGAAAGACCTGGAGAATTGAACCTAACACAGTTTCAGCAGCTGTTCATAAACACCTGTGATTTTCTGACTACCGTTCCTCTCAAAATACTAATCATCCCACTATTTGTGCAGCTCTTATTGTATTTAATATTCACTTTCTCATTCTGTCTCAGTTATAAACCTCCTTTTCCTCAGCAAGACTGTACACTCCCAAAGCCTTGCCTCTGAAAGAAATCACCCACCAACCAGCAGCACTGGCATCATATAGGTGCTTGTTTAGAAACACAGGATCTTGGAACAGACCACAAAACTACTGAACAGAATCTGCATTTTAGTAGGATCCTCTGATTCACATGCACATTAAGTTTATAAAGTTCTGCCCTAGAGGATAGAGATGAAGTTGTCTATCTCTTTTTTAATGACTGCAATAAGGAGACAACTCCTATATGAAGAAAAGGTAGCTTTCAATGTATTCTTTCTCCATTGGTTTTATTTACACAAAGCTTATTATTAAGAAAGGATCCAAAATATTTGCTTATATTCTCCTGAGAGATGGATCATATTCTTAGTAAGTCTAATCAAGATAGAGACACAGAGAGAAATGCCACGTAGTTGAGAAGAAAGAAGAGAGATAATTACCTTTCTTCTTTTGGTGTACGAGGAGATAAAAATACCTTTCACTGAACAACTGAAGGCAATCTGTTACGGCCTTTTATGTAAAGAGGCAGCACAGTGTATAGGTTAAATTGAATTCAGCCAGTCTTGGGCTTAGCTTTCAACCCACCTTGGTTAAGCTTACAGCTAACAAGTTTTGTAACTTTGGGTGAATTATTTAAATTCTGGGAACCTTGGTTTCCTCCACCAGAAAATGGGAATGAAAAGAGCCACTGCTTTATAAGGTTTTAGTAATAGCTACGTTAAATATTTTTCTGCTGCGCTGTTAGCAGTGCACATGGTAGAAGCCCAATAGACGTCAACAATTTTGTTATTTCAACTTTCACTGAAACTCAAAGTAGTCTGGAAAAGCTGACCCAACATGAGCCAGTAATTTCCTCACTTACTGAAAGTTGTAACCAGTCCCCTGAACAGAGCTGTCATTGACCAGCCTCTTCAGCTTTTCAAGTATTCTTATCTTTTTCTCATTTATGAGTGCCTAACCCCAGGAGTATTTGTGGTGGTCTGACTCTGACAGATCAGAGCTTCACAGACATTCCTGATTTCTCTAGTGCCAACCATTGAGACCAATGAACAAGCAGTACCACATGTCTAACAGAAAACTGGTCCAGTCCGACAAGTCTTAGCAAGTGAGGTAATGCACAGACTTAACCAATCTGTAATAGCTCCTGACACTTGGGTCCAAGAAGAGTAACGCAAAGCCCTCATGTTGAATTTCTAACCAGAGTCATGCACCCTGGAAGCAAATATTTTTCTTACTGTGGGTTCAGCCTTAGTAATACATGCTACTATTGCTCCTACTGAATACATGAATATATTTCAGGTCCATTCTGAGAAAGGATATGTTTAGAAGCCATTTTCTTTGTCATTCTAGGCAGTAGACATATTTGAAAATTAGCTATTTTAAAATGTATTTTGCCTGATTTGATTCAAACTTTTGTTTGTGTGATAGAGTTATATCTAAATTGTTTATAGTTACAAACTTTTTTTCAGGTTAGTATAATATACTATCACTTTTCAACAGCTGATTTTTCTCTTAACTGTAAGATTTATGAAATGATATAAATGCAGAAAAAATAAAAAACAAGTATGTTACCTGCACTTTGATTGGTTCAAATGTATTAATGGGATGTGTTAAGCCATATACAACTTTCTCATTTTCTGTTTCAAATGTCCCTGGAAGATAAATATTAAGGATATGAGATTTGGCTTCCTGTAATTGAGGGAGATGATTTAATTTTTTGATTTTAATACGTTTTACTTACCAAATATTCTATCCCAAATAATAAGAACACCAGCAAAATTTTTGTCTATGCAATAACGATTTCTGCCTATGAGACAAAATGTTAGAAAATATTTTTTCAGAAAAATAGTTATGCTTTTTGAGATATCTTCATCTTGTTTTTAGAACATATTCATAAAATTCAGATTTAAGCAAGAGTATAATTTCCCTGGAAATGTCTTCTCATTTACAACATCAGATTTTATTCTCTAATAAAGGAATTTTTATTTTTATTTTTCAACTAATTATACTAAAAAGGGGAAGTGTTTTCTTAAACCTATATGTAGGTTTTCTTGTCACCATTTTTCAGTATAAAATGGAATAAATGTAAATAATTTTTTTCAGGACCATTAAATAAAAATTAAGAATGAAATGATATCAAAAATTATAAATAAGAAATAAAATAAGGAAACAATGTATGTAAATGTGTTTTTATTTTAAATTTTTGATGGGATGTCTCTCTATCCCTTTTCTCTGCATCTGTTTCAGGAAGAAAATTTTCTACTTAGAGTGAGACTTGACTAGTTTTTTTAAGATCATAAAAGCCATAGTGAAAAATAAACTACCCTTAATTTTTTCAAAACTCATATCACATATATTTTTCCTGCTGCCAAATAATCAAATTATAATGTAAATAACTGGTTATTATTTATTTAACACATTTTTTATAAAACTTAAGTAGACATGATGATATCCATATGACTGCAAATCTAAAGAAAAAGAATAATTAATTAATCAAACCACAACCCCAAGAAATTCAACTATCCTGAGTTCCCATTCCTTTTCATGGTTTCCATGTAGGCAACCGCACATTTGAATGTGCAGATACAAGGAAAAATCTCCCATAGTGTAAAAGTAGAGATAGATCGGCTGAACAGATGCAGACACTGTTGCTATATACATGGTTTAAATAATGGTTCTGAATTAGGAAGGAAAAATTTTGCCCCTTAAGGAACATTTGGCAATTTCTGGAGACATTATTGGTAGCCACACCTAGGAGGGGATACTAATGACATCTAATGGGTGGTGGCCAGTGAAGTTACTAAATTTCCTACAGTGCACAGAACATCCTCCACAACAAAGAAGTATCTGTCTCAAAATGTCAACAGTGTTGAGGTTGGGAAACCCTGATATAAGCAGGTGGGGGTGTGGGAAAATGAAGTCAGAGGAAATAGCATCTGTTTTGTTTTGTAATGTGGACTTGTTCTTCTCGGCTCCTTCTATTTCCTTTTATATAGAAGGAACTGCAAGTGTATAATCCCCTTGGCCTCTCCACTCCCTTACTAATTAGAGATGCTTCTTGACTTACGGAGAGGTTATGTCCCAATAAACCATCTAAATTGAAAAACATTGAAAGTCAAAAATGCTTTTAATCAGAGTGTGGTGACTCAGGCCTGCAATCCCAGCATTTTGGGAGGCCGAAGGTGGGCGGATCACCTGAGGTCAGGGAGTGTGAGACCAGCCGGATCAACATGGTGAGACTCCGTCTCTACTAAAAATACAAAAATTAGCTGGGCTTGGAGGTGTGCACCTATAATCCCGGTTACTCGGGAGACTGAGGCAGAAGAATCGCTTGAACCCAGGAGGTGGAGCTTGCAGCGAGCCGAGATCGTGCCACTGCACTCCAGCCTGGGTGACAGAGTAAGACTCTGTCTCAAAAAATAAAAAAAAAAGCTTTTAAATAAGCCTAATCTACTGAACATCATAGCTCAGCCTAGCCTGCCTTAAATGTGCTCAGAGCACTTATATCAGCCTGCAATCTTAGGCAAAAATCATCTAATACAAAGCCTATTTCATAAGAAAGTGTTGAATATCTGACATGGTTTATGGAATATGGTACCAAAAGTAAAAAAATAGAGCGGCTATATGGGTCTCAAGGTATGATTTCTACCAAACATGTATCACATTTGCATCATTGTGAAAGTGGAAAAATCAGAAGTCGAACCATCATAAATTAGGGACTTTCTGTCCTCCCTGGAGTTGGAGAATGACTGTTGAGTTTCAAAGAGGAAGCCGCTTGTGCTCTCTGCCCTGGCCTCTCCTCCTGTGGAAGCCTGTGCTTCTGCTCGGCTCCCTGCCATAAACATAGGGCCTGCCCTTCTTGGTAAGGCAGGGCTTCAGGGATTCAGGGTTGCCGAGGAAGACTAGAAACTTATAAAAACAGAACAATAGCATTTACTTACGTATTTATTTTACTGGCTTCCTTCTCTCAGTATTGTTTGTGAGATTTATTCATGTCGTTGTGTATAGCAATGGTGTGGGCATTTTCATTGTTATATCATTCTCCATTACATGTATGATATAAAATTTATCTGTTCTACTGCTGAAAAACATTTGAATTATTTCTGTTTTTCTGTCACAAATAATGCTGATATGCACATTGCTATACAGGGCTCAGGGTACACAATGTGAACATTTTTGTTATTACTTAAGTTGGTGTCTTTAAACCTTAGGCACTAGCCACTTGGGATTTTCTCCTTGTCAGGGAAACACAGCTTATATTGAGATTGTCCAAGGCCTTAGGCAGGAAGGTTTATTGGGCTCTCCTTAAATCAAAACAGTTTTCAAGACCACTAACTCTCTGCCTGTAGATAGGAATGACCTTCAGCACTGGGTCGAGGAGTAGCCTTCGACAGAATCCTTTAGAACATAAAATGTGCATCTCTTCAGCTGGTTAACTCATTTTCTACTACAATGGAGCTAAGATTTAGGTAGAACGAAAAATCCAAGTCAGATAGATAAATCCCCCCACTCCACCCCCCCAGTTCATACTTTGGAGATGAGGCTTGTACCAAAGAAGATAGAAAAGAAGAAATTATATTTATTCGTAAAACATGTGCTGACTATATTGGAGGATTGTGATTAAATGAAGTAAGGCAAATAATAATGTATTTTTTTAAAGAAATGAAGAGGAAAAGAGAGAAGAAATAGAACTTCTTACCATGATGAACCCTATGATGGCTAGGAGTATTAAGAATCAGTTCCAAAGGACCAAGGTTATTGATGACCTGTTTAAAACAGAAGGAATATTTATACACATATTTATCATTAAATGTGTATTAGTATATAAATACTCACATTAGAAACTCACATAAATTAAGAGATATTGCAAGTTTCAGGGTTGGTATCAGAGAGTGGAAAAAAGTTCCTCTGAAATCTGGAATTCATATAAAGACAATAGTAATCTCAAAACTCTATTCTGAGAGGCAGCATGGTGAGTTTGGTGTCATGGTTAAGAGCTAGACTTTCAGTTCAGCTTCAAGAACCTCCACTTATTACTGTGTGATCCTGGGGAAATGACTAGGTTTTCATATCTCAATTTTCTCATCTTTAAAATGGAAATAGTAACATATCTATATAATAATGTTGTTCCAAAGATTATTAATGTTACTGTATTACATGCCACTATCACCAAGGCACATTTCCCTTAGATTTCACGTTGTGTTACCGTTTTTGCCTTTCAACTATGGCTTTGATTATTTATGAGAGCAGGGTATTACTAGGAGAGTGAAAACACTGTGTTACGTTTCCTGGAGTTACTTCACCCTGTAATCAGCCATGCAGCAACAACTTAATATTGTATCAGTAATCTATTACATTAGGGTGATCCTACTTATTCAAATAGAATACTAAATCATCTCTTACCTTTCAAGGCATCGTCTACCATTACATCTTAGAGGTGCAATTCAAAGTCAAATATGTAAAAGGGCCTTTTTTCACAATTAAAGTTACTTCAATATCTAGTGCCTAACTTTCTAATTAATTCTCACAACATTTCTTAGTAAGAATTCCCTAGTTCTGAGTCTATAAATTCTAAAAATCGTAGGAACCAGGTAGCTGTCATGAAAAAAGTACAGCAGCCCACATGTAAGACATTTGGTATGTTATATTAATAATATTGAACAACTTGAACGTCCACCAACCATGGCAGATACCAAGATATTTTACTTTTCTTTATTCACAATCTAAACTGATTTGTTAGAGCCTACCAATGAGAAAATCAATACATTGTCATGATATTTTAAGACATGACTCACTCTTAGGGTTAGCTTCCATTTGCAGGACATATGAGGAATAAAGAAATGAGTTAAATGATGCTAAAGGGAAAAATAGTCACTGACAATTATGACGCTGATATGAATTTGATAGTAAGTCAGTGCTGTGGGAAGAAATAGAGAGAGATGGGACTGTTTAAGATGAAAAAATATTTAAGACACATAACTAAATTTAAGGTGTACACCTTGTCTAGATATTGATTTGAAGAAACCTAACATAAAAGACATTTTATAGGCAATAAAGAAAAATGTATTATAAACAGGGTGTTATTAATAGATTATAGGAAAAATATTATTTTCATTGGGAGTTATAAAGTATTGCCATTGTGTTAGAAGATGCGTTTGTTTAGAGTTGTATAACTGAAATATACATGAGAGGAGATCCAGATTTTGCTATGAAATATTTTGGCAATGAAAAAAGAAAGAAAAAAAGGATAACTGATGCAAATAAATCGAAATCTTGAGTTTTGAAACAAAATGATGGAGATATATAAATTTATTCTGTTATTCTCTAATTTTATGAATGTTGGAAAAAATTTAAGTTAAAAACAAACAGAACAAATTGCTAGTAATGTCCATAAATGCTCACTAAGCCAACTGGAAAATAATAGATTGCCTAAGTCTCAGACATATTTCTAATTCAAAACTCTTTATCTAGCAGGGTTTAATTATTGTTTGGCAATCTCTGATTAAAACACCCAATTTACAGTTGCTCAATAAATGTGAACAGGTGGGGTGACCATACCATATTCAGCTTGTGGCATCGTGTACCCTCTTGAAATGGAAGCTGTGGCAATGTTGCCACATATCAAAACTTATCCTTCTCTGGGACAGAGGCCATCGACATCTCTCCATTAGGCACATTGTTTACCCACCTGAAAGAGACAGTTCTTGCCTCTCTCCCTGTTGCCCAGCTGCTAAAGGATTTCCAGTTTCCATTACAGAGCAGAGAGAAACACTTGCATGCAAAAGAATGTATACTATATTTTATGTGTCAGTTTAGCTCTCCCTCCCTTCCTCCCACCTCCCTCTTCCTTCCTTCCTTCCTTCCTTCCTTCCTTCCTTCCTTCCTTCCTTCCTTCCTTCCTTCCTGCCTTCCTTCCTTCCTTCCTTCCTTCATTCCTTTTTTCTTTTCTTCCCATCCCCCTCTCTCTCTCTGTCTTCCTTTTCTCTAAGATCCTATCCACTATTTTTAAAGTTATTTCCATGAGAGATATATTTTGACCTCCAAACAGCAGAACTTTTGATTAATTCATATGATGGAGCTCATTTATATACCAAAGATTATCTGTGTTTTTAATTTCAGGAGTTTAAACTACCGTGAATATATAGTTCTTATAAGAGAATACATTCCAATGAAATAAAGCACAAGAAGCATTATCCCACAAATACACTGTTAATAACCAGGAATTGGGAAGAAGGTACAGATGAATAACCCTGTATTTGATTGGACTACATTGCTCTCTACTTGGTGAAAAACTATTTGTTAAGAAGAATGGTGAAGAATAGAGAACAAGAAAGTGGGGATCCTTAGCAGTCTGGACATTGAAATCTGATGCTTTGGTTGGGCTTTGTATCTATGGCAGAGAACCAGATGAGAAAGGATAAAACCATTTTACCCTTGTTTGTCCCTTTGGTGCCTAACATGTGTTACAAAAACAAAAACAACAAATGTGGGTGGAGAGGACTACCCTGACCAGCTTCTGCTCCCCAGATGCATTTCTGATCCTAGGCCCTGGCGTGTGTGCAGCCAGATGTAAAACCACACAAATGGTGAGTGCCTGCAGATGACTGGAGCCTTGGCTGAGTGCACTATTTTTTTTAATGTCAAGCCCTTTTTTTGCAGTGAAAATCTTTTGCTCCTGCAGGCTAAAGGACGGTGATATCAATATTGAAAGTTCCTTTTAAAAAAAATAGTTAAAAGCCAAGTACAACACAGTCAACCACAGATAAATTTCCTGGTAGTGCCTATGAGTGAGTACCTTGGAGCTGGGGAAGACCACCTCTGAGTGAGAGATGATTCATCATTCCGACAGCCCAGTCAGAGCCTCTCATGTAAAAAACCCTTCCAATTCAAAGTCATGGAGAATTCATTAATATTTAATAAGGGTTGAGCATAACGACTTAATTATCGCCTACTTTTGCAAATTCAGCCATTTGGCAATTTGACGACGTCTAGCTTTGAATCACTTCCTGAAAATATGTTACTCTGGGAATAATTGTAGCAATTCTCATTTTTAGAAGTTATTTGTTTGTGTTATTTTTTAGACATAGATGCGTTTATTTAAATTATCAAATTTTAGGACATACAGAGGGCTTCAAAATAACATAGTTCAATACTTCATTATTTTAAAAAACCCCGTAAAACTGAAGCTCACAGAGGTTAAACTACTAGTTTAAGTTTAATCAGGTTGGAATAAGCCCTAAACCCTTTCCGATTTCAGCTCATGAATCTTTCTACTTATCTATCATATTGTTTTTAAGACATACAGCAATTTTCCATTGAATAAAAATACTTTAAACTTTTAGAACTTTAATAGAAAATGATAATTCCTTTTCTATTTCGTATTAGTTAAAAGGATGCCAGGTATTTATAAAGATCCCAGGGATTTCAGCTTCTAAACCTCCCCATATGATATTTTAGGGATTTTTGGCTGCTCCTTTGGTCTCTGAAGCAATGCTCTAAATATTGTATTTTGTAACTGGTTTTTTCTTGGTCTTGTAACTTGAGAACTATGGATGCCTAGAAGGGCCATGAAGGGTTTCAGAAAGTCAGAAAAACCCTGAAGTTTTAGATGACATTTTATAAATAAGTGCCTATGGTATTTTTCTGGGGAGAAATTCTAGCATTTCTATTATATACTGAAAAGAAAGCATGAGTTCATAAAGGTTTAAGAGCCAATGTCCTAAACAGAGTTGACTAGGTTATTTCCTATTATATTGTGTTGTCAGTTTACAGATCAGTAAAACCTGAGTGCTATTTTCTCATCCAAACTTCACAGAAACTTAAACATTTTTTAGCTCATTTCTTAAAATTGTTAAATTTTTCAGACTATTTCTTAAGCTATTTCATTTGTATAGTAACAAATTATAAATATTTAAATAATACAAATAACAATTTTGTAACAGTAAGCTCCATGATGATTCACTTTCATTCAACAAAAATGCTCTGGACAATTTGTTGGAATGATCACAAACTCCTCATTTCTTCCTCTCCAATCTCTGGTGGAAGTGGGAAAGAGAGTTAAATATAAAAGCAAGAGAAGACGGAGCCATGAGACCATTGTTATCTCATTATGTCATATCCCCTGACCAAAAATAAAATGAAGCCAAATAAAAAGACTCCTTGTAATGAACCAAACATTGTCCAAACCTTTCAGAGTTCAAAGCCGTTCACATTCTTTCTGGAGAGTGATTTCTAATGTTCTCTTTCTTCTCCGTCTAAGACATTAACCTCCTAAAAGCTTCTGGAATCCTGTTTTTTCTCCAAGATCAATTCTCCAAGCACGCTTCTCGATTTTTCCAAGGAGAGTTTTGTTTTCCTTTCTCTGGATGCATATTGAGAGATCGTTAATTCTCACGTCTTCCAGTTCTGTGTGTTAGTTATTTGTTTTCATTTCTCATACTATATTGCAAGTTTCATGAGGATGAAAATTGTGCCTTACCATTCTCTGTGTTTCTCAGGTCACATACAACATTGGTTACACATCGTGATTGTTTGACAATAGTATATCAATAGATAAATCCCTCTTACTCCTCTCATACTCTTATTTCTTTATAGCGGTGGTTCTCAAATTGGGGTGATTATCATCCCCAGGCAATTTTGGCAATGTTTGGAGATAATTTTAGTTGTCATAACTGGAAAAAGTGCTACTGGCATCTAGTGAGCAGTGGTGGGTTTAGTGTTGTTAAATATTCCACAAAGAATAGGACAAGTCCCCACAATAAGAATT